CACCAGTACCAGCACCAGTACCAGCACCAGCAGCAGCATCAGCACCCGCACCAGCGGCGGTGGTGGTGGCGTTGGTCGAGTTGCCATCGTTGATGGTGGGCATGTGCTCGAGGTTGTCTGGCGTAGTGTAACCGGGAATCTTGAGGTCCGGTGCACCCGCCACACTGCAAATGCTCTTGATGACGCCAGCGGCGCCATGGAACTGCTGGGGACAGGTAGCGTTGATGCAGGCAAACGTGCCGTCGACGAACGAGGGTGCCTTGCAGAAGCAGTCGGGCTTGCTCAGGTCCGTACCGCATCCGGCGTCCTGGGTCGACTTGGACGCGCATTCGGTCACGCACTGTCCATTGTGACCGCCATTGTGCTTCTTGGCCGTGGCGTGCGGGTCCTTGGCATCCTCATCGCCATCGGTAGCATCGTCGTTGCTACCCATCATGTGCGAAGAGTGCGCCAGGATCGTCTTGGCATCCGCCCCGCCTGCGGGTGACGAAATGTTGCCCCCATCATCGTCGTCGTCATCGTCGTCGCCGTTGGGTGAAGATGCAAGCTGACCTCCTTGCGCAGGCTTGCCTGCCGAAGGAGCCTGCGATGCAGCGGGAGAGGCAGCCTTGTTGTCGCCCTGGGCAGACACGGTCGCCACAACGGAGAGCAGCAGCACCAGTGCGCAGGTAAGCTTGATCGTGCGCTTAGCAGCAACCATGGCTAAAATCGAGTTATAAGGGAGAAAAGATGAGAAAAGGGGGAGAGAGTCGAAAGGATTGAGGTTGAGAGTCAAGAAGCCAACAGGCCCAGGCCTGTCAACTGCATTGCCTCTGAAGAGGGGCCAAGAGCCGTGCGGATGGCATCAATATGAAGTCGCAGGGGCCCAGTGGTGGGCTCGTGCAGGCGCGTCCACTTCATCACCGCCACCACAGCCCACGTCGCAGGTGGGTCTCGTCGCGCACAGTCCTCACGCGTACGGTCGTCCAAGCGCTGCAGAAATGTTCTCGCTAAAGCCTCATGACTGGCAATCAACAGTCTTGAGGTGGGCTTGGGCCTCTCGACATTTCGGTGCTTGGACTCTTCCTTTGCCTCACTAGATCCGCACGGACTCCAAACAAAGGGCTATTCCTCAGATCAGCGTCGTCGAATGCTGTCCGGTGATGTCAAATGCCGCATCACAGGCTAAATGGTTTCGATACCCCACCGTCACGCATCTCGGTCGTTCTTTCACAAGGATCACTTCGAAGCATTCAAATGGATTGCAGTGGGTCTAAAACGAGCGCGTGTGCTCTTGAATACGGGCGATGCTGGTGACTGCCGGACTCGAGTTCCACCTGATCAAGAAATTGAAAGGATTCTGCGGCTCCTGCACGATCGCAGCGCCAATGAGCTTGATATAGTCGCGGGGTAGCAGCCTGTCCACGAAGAGCTCGTAGATGAGCAGGGGCGGATGCTGTTGAGACTCGGGTGTGTAGGGGATGCGGAGCATGCTGTACCACTCCTGGTTGACAGGAACAGGAACCATCACATGGATCTTTCGTAAAGCTCCGGCTCGGAAGGCCTGCAGAGCGCCCGGACCGTGAGGGATGTTGAGCACATGCGAAACTTTCGTGTCCGGGGAGCTGACCAGGTTCAACGCGCGCGCCTCAAGCCGCGTGCCTCGTCCGACGAAGATCGAATGAGCACGAAGTGTGGCGAGCGTGGGATCGAAGCGGCTGAGCTCTGCCCTCAGTGCGGCTAGGATGTGGTCATTTTCGAGTCGCAAAAGGCGAAACGGCCGTGAGGTCAAGCCAGCACTAGTCAGGTCAGAAGGCACGTGGACGAGCGGATAACCTCGTCCTGGCTCCCTTGATTCCGGACCGCCGGCATTGCCGTTCCAGAAAGCGACGCGATGACCTGTTTCCGTGTACGCAGGAAGGATTGGACGTACTGGTGCGGCCAAGCTCGCTCGCAGGCAAGACAGGGCGACCAAAGTGGCGAGGAGGACGAAACCGAACCGCGTGCATCCGCAGAGCACCATTTTGCCTTGAAGCTAGCTGCTGGAGAGCATGTTCAAAGTTTTAGAAAGCGCTTCTTGACGCCCATATATACACCTGAGCCTCTGTCGCACCTCGAAGGGCTGTTGACTCACTCGAACATCGCCAAGAGGGACAACGTTGTCGCTTTCGGCGGTCCCTCGGCCTCGATTTCCCACGACACGCTGCCGAAGTGCCAAGGCATGCTGCTCATGTGATAACCCTCTTTCACGACGTCCGACTATTCGTGCAGCAGCCCAGCCATTGACCGAACCTGCTGACGAGTAGTCCGGAAGAGCTGCTGTACACCCGGGCTGCTCACAACTTCTTCCGACGGAAGCCCACTTTCATCCTGTGCTGTTATGACCGAGCCTCCATCCTTCGATGATGAAGGCACCACATTCCCGTCGTTTGCTGTGCTAGAAACAACCAACAGTCAGACATCGCCGAACCTGTCTTTCTTGGCACCCACGACGGCACGGTCGTGCAGTACCTATGGGCGTCGAAGGTTTTTTACTAGGTAAACGAGCACGAAAGACAGGTCTGAGTGAGGACTAATGAAAGGAAGTGCTTCCGGTCATAGAGGCCAAAGCTCGAAGGAGGGAGCTCGTCAATCGTGGCGCCGGCAGCAAGGAGGGGGAGGGAAGGAAGTAGGTGCCGAGCAACCGCTTCATAACACCGAATGGCGATTCGAGACATCGCCGCAAGCACGCAGGGTACCGTTTAGCTTGCGCTAAAGAAGGTGAGTGAGGTGGACCAGGTTGCGCGAGCTCTTGAGACTGATGACGAAGCTGGCCCGCTCTGCCACGGTTGCAGGCGATCGAATGGCGAGCAGCTGGATGTTCTGACCATGGGCAGTGCGCGAGCCAATTTTTCCAATAAAGATCGGGTACAAGGCCTCGCGCTCAACGTAAGCGGTGGGCACCACCATCTGCGACCACTCGGGGTACGGAGATCCGCGCATGGGGCGGAAGCGAGTGAGGAAGTAGGTTTCGCCATCGTGCTTCATACTCGAAACCGGGGTGTTGGGGTCGAGGATCATCTCGTGGAACTTGCCAATGACATTGTTCCAGTGGTTCTGTAGGACGCCCATGGGCACGTGGTTCTCGACGCCGTGTCGCTCAGACATGAGGTGCGTCATGACGTCCGAAGGTACCTCAGTACCAGGGTAGAGCGCGCGATTGGGCCGACTCGTGGCGGAGGAATCAAGCATGCTCACCCAGACGGTGTCGTCCGATGCCCGGGAGGCGAGTGCGAACCGGGCTTCATTAGCGCCAGCGCCATCGAGCGGGGCAGAAGCCACGAAAGTGGCCTGCACGAAGAGGAGGGCAAACAGCACCGCAGTCAGCTTGGACATGGAGATCATGGCTGGCAAAGAGAGAGAAAGGGTGTGTGTGTGTGTGTGTGTGTGTGT